TTTCACCCTTATTCCTCATGTTGCGGCGTGCAACCTGATCCCACCATATCAATACCAATCACACAATAAGAACAAGTATTTCACAATTCAGCTCAAAACCCTCCACAATATTTATGCCTCAAACCAAAACAATAGAAGGCTATACACTTATGAAACTTCACTCAATTACTACTACATAACGAGACCAACCAACATATACCATGATACACCGATAAACCAACTTAAACCAATAATGTAACACAATAAAACTACGAAACAGTTACTACCTTCAAATAAGAAAACAACATCTAACAAGAAGCAATTAAACATGGAAGCACCAATAAGCACGTAACAGTTAAGACAGGAAAAAAATATAATAGAAACGGGGAAGGGAAAAGGCTAAACAAATAATTTTGGCGGCGCATAGGTACTCGTCACCTCACCTATACGCCACACACATGGATTTTCACATAGAAATTAAGCCGGGATCCCTAATCTCTCAAGTCAAAGTTAGACACAACACTTACCTCAATCCAACAGCTAACTCAAAGCTCAATTACCTCTTTTCCTCTAGATTCCAACTTCTATCCACTCGTATCTAGTCATAGTTAACTTAATAACATCAGTTATGGCTAAAGAAATCAATTCCAATGCATAAGTATAAATTTTCCAATATTTTCCCCAAAAAGTCAAAAACCGACCCCGGGCCCGCTTGGTCAAAACCCGAAATTCGGACCAAAACCCGATTACCCATTAACCCCCAAGCTTGGATATACAATTGATTTGGAATCCGACCTCAATTTGAGGTCTAAATCCCCAAATTTTGAAATTCCTTAGTTCTACCCAAAAATCCCCAATTCCACCATGAAAACCCTAGATTCTAGGATAAAATCTTGTGAAAAGAAGTAAAAGATTGAAAGAAATGAGTTAAGAATCATTTACCTATGATTTGGGGAAGAAAAAGCCATTGGAAAATCGCCTCTTGTGTTCTAGGTTTTGAAAAATGGGAGAATAAATGAAAAATCTCGTCCAAGTCTTAACTTATAAGCTGCAGATGTCGCATTTGCGACCTGAGCTTCGCAATTGCAAAGCTCGCAAATGCGGAGGGGCTATCGCAATTGCGAAGCCCTTCACAGTCCTGCTGCCTTCGCAAATGCGAGGAAAGTGTCGCAATTGCGATCACTGAACCTCGCAAATGCGAGTAAAAGTTCGCATTTGCGATCCTGACCCTTCCTAGACTCCCTTAGCAATTGTGACGGTAACCTCGCAAATGCGAGAACTGCTGGCCTAGCCTTCCTTCACATTTGAGATGAAGGCCTCACAAATGCGACCTCCACAGTAGTCGCAAACGCGAACCTTGACCTCGCATCTGCGAGGTCTGAGGCCTGCAACATAGATGAAGAATTACCAGCAACTTTTCTAAGTTCCAAATCACTCTGTAGCCTATCCGAAACTCTCCCAAGACCGCGGGGCTCCAAACCAAACATGCACACAAGTCTTAAAACATCATAAGAACTTGGTCGTGCGATCAAATCGCCAAAATAACACCTAGAACTATGAATTTAGCACCAAATTGCATGAAATTTTCAAGAAAGTTTCAAAACTTCTATTTTCTCAACCAAGGGTCCGAATCACGTCAAATCAGTCCCATTTCTCACCAAACTTCACAGATAAGGTATAAATATCATAACGGACCTGTAACAGGCTCCGGAACCAAAATACGGACCCAATACCAACGAGATCAACTATTAACCATTTTCTCAAAACCATTATAATTTCAGTTTTACGATTTTCATCAAAAATTTATTTCTCGGGCTAGGGACCTCGGAATTCGATTTTGGGCATACGCCCAGGTCCCATATTTTACTACGAACCCACCTGGACCGTCTGAACACGGGTCCGGGTGCGTTTACCCAAAACGTTGACCGAAGTCAAGAAAAATTAACTTTTTAGGCCAAAAATTGTTATTTCCTCATTTTCATATAAAAACTTTCCAGATATACGCCCGGATTGTGCACACAAATCGAGGAGAGATAAAATGAGGTTTTTAAGGCCTCGAAACACGGAATCGAGTTCTAAAACAGAAGATGACCTTTTGGGTCATCACATTTTCACTTATTGCTTTAGCAATTACTAACAACCTTATATATAGCTAGCATAATTATTACCTATCCATCAATAAAAAGAGGCGTTAGTGCTTTCCAATTTCTATATACTCCCTTCGAATTCACTTTTACCTGTCCATTATTCTAAAAATAGATTTTTACTTTTACTTATCGCTTTTAGCATATCAAAAGAAGACAATTTCTTTTTTCCTGCTATACCCTCAGTATTGATTACTCATTTCAAATTATTTTCTCAAATCCATTAAAAATATGCATCAACTAATATAGATATCATGGTAAATTATGCATTCCATTTATTATTTTTTAAAGGGTGTTTAAAGTCCATAGTGGACAAGTAAAAATGAACGGAGGGAGTACTATTTTCGGGACATTATTCATCTTGCACTAATAGTAGCATCCTCCAGCAATTAATGAATGTGGCATGGTGGGGCAAGTGCACAGATATTCATTTTTAAAGATACTATTTAAATAGTATTTATTTTGTCCTGAAATTTTGAATTAAAAATCGTAACTTCAGGATAATTCAGAATATTTTGTCCCAGAAAATTCAGGATTCACTGGCTAATTAAATAGCAGTCATTTAGAGTGGCTACCTGATGTCATTTCTACCGGAGACTTTAATAAGTCTCTAAAAATTAAGAAGTTCATAATTTTTTTTTATCGATTATGGCAAATAAGTTTGGTTGGTTTATTCCTAAGAAGATCTTATTAAAAAAGAACAATAATTCAATAAACATAAAAAGCAGACTGAGAGTTTTTTTTTTTTTTTTTTTTTTTTTTTTTTTTTT